AAACCTTTCCAGAGCAGACATTTTCACTTTGCCGTCAGGTGATTTTAATGACCTTTTCAGGACATGGTATGCACCATGTAACAAAAGAATTTGTCTGTCTCTATGTGTGAGATGTGTAAGCTGTGGCTTACTGAGGGTAGTGTTACTTTACCTAAAAATACAGTATTTGTCACGTAACTGTCATGATTGGTATTGTCGTTACCTCTGTTAGTCTCACGAAGAGGTTATTAGAGGGACTATAAATATATGTCAGCAAAAGTAGACGTGCATAGTGACTACAGCCCATTATGTTTGCGTGCCTACAGTGGACAGCTGTCCTGAGGCGCAGGAGCTGTGGAAGGAGGAAGTCATCATTTCCAGGGACTTTCAGCTGTCCAGATTCTCCTCTGAATTGATTATCCCGAGTCAGCATTTTTATGTACTATCTAATAGATTTTGCATGTGACCTGAAGTTTTTAGTGGATAGTTGAGCTTGTAAAGGTCAGCACTGACAGCAGAAACTTCTGCCATTTGTACTGCCAGGGTAATTTCACTGTGCTACAGTTCTTGTCACGTGAGCAAGCTGCTGCGGTGTGGCAGTTCTTCAATTAAACATTATACCTTTCTATCCACAGTAGCATGCTTCATGCATCTAAAAACCACAGGAAGCCAAATGTCTCCATCTGAGCTGCTTTCTAGTAAATTTTTACAGGTATAAACCTTCAGCATTAAGCTTGGTGCTGCTGGTGTTTGGTCTCGTGGTCAGGCCTTGCTCACAGCTGCAGTGGGCAGCCTCTGCACTGGCAGCCTGTAACAGCCTTCCTTAGGCCTGATGCAAAGCCCAGAAAGGGTGATGGGGATATTTCCAGTCAACCTCAGTGGGCTACGGGTCCAGTAGAAAGTTTTATGTTTTATGTGTCATTGGTAAAGTTGCACATAGAGAGAGTGCTGCTGCTGCTTCTTGGCAAGTGAGAAACAATACAGTTTTTAGCTGTTACAAAGCGAAGACAAAGACTGCCTGCACAGCTCTGAGGTGTTTAACCTTCCTTATGAGAGCTGGGTGTTCAGCAACTTGCTAGTTTGGTCTCTGATTGACAGAATATACTTGTGACTCTTCATTTAATCATGGTTGCCGATTGGAGTAATTTAATCAAGGAACTGATTGAGGTAATTTGGAGTAGGCCCCACTGGTGAACGTCAGTAGTTAAGATGGATTGCCCAGTAGAGACAATAGCTAGTAAAAGACAGGGTAGAGGGTAGGCAGTAAATAACTCCCATTTTGTCCAGCACAGGACTCTCCAGCCTTGTTCACTGACAGTTCCCTCTTAGCATCTAGGGATGGTGAGAACCCCATAGTCTCAGAATACTTATAGGGTAAGCAATGAGGTGAGGAAGCGTGCTGATGATGCTGCATTATTCAGATCATTGAGGAAAGGGCAGACTGAAGAATTCTGGAAGGTCATTGTGAGACTTGAGATTTTGGTCAATAAAATAATAACACATGGTCTAGGTATATATACAGTAATGTGCATAGTGACAAAAGTGATCAGAATTTCACCTGTGAAAGATGCTGATACAGTATATAACTCGATGAAAGCTTTTTTTCAGTATGCAGTGGTGCTCAGATATGTAAATCAAGCATTAGGAATTATTAGGAAAGGCACAGGTTATACAACAGCGAACGTTACCATACCATGGCAGAAGTCTATGGTTTCCCCTCACCTGTGCAGTTTTAGTCCACTCATCTCAAAGAGGATATAAACTTGGAAAGGGATTAAGGAGGAGCAACAAGGATAAGCAAAGGTAAGGAATGACTTTGACTTGAAGAATGACTGGTGAGACTAGAAGAAGCCTGTAGGCTGGAAAAAGAGACAACTTGCCAGGAGTGTGATGCAGATCTGTTGGAGCTCAGAAAATCCCCTGACCCGAAAGTAGTTGCAGACAGAGAAGGAAGTATCATATATGCTTGTCTTGTTCTTTCTCTTCCCTCAGTATCCATTTGTGGCCACTGTCAAAGTCCAGATACTGAGTTCAGAGACTTTTGATCTGACACAGTACAGGTGGTGTTGTGAAACTGATATTTCTATAGGGAGCCCCAGAGGAAAGGTCTGCTGGAGCCCCTCTGAGCTCTGCAGCAGCAGATCCCCATGGCAGGGCTGTGTCTACATGCAGCACCATTGCCTAGCTTGCTCTATGCTATGTCCTCTGCCTTCTTCATGCAGTGTGCACTTTTTTCCAGATGTTTGCATGAACTGTCTGTTAAATTATAGAAGTCTTTTTTGTTGTCCTTGTAAAAAAACCAAAACCAAACAGCAACAAAAAACAAAACCAAAACAAACACCAAAACAACTGTTGGTAGGTGTGGTGTTTGAAAATCTGGGGAGATATGTAGACCCATTGGACTTCATTGTCATGAAAAAGGAGGGAAAAAAAAGCCTTGCTGTTTTCATTTTTTGAAAGCTTTGGGTGCCATCTGCTGGGTTCAGTGGGACCTTACACACTGGAGCTAAATTGCTAGTTGCTGGTTGAAAAGTGCTTGAAAGATTGAATTTCTCCAGACTTGCGATGTCTTTGCACCTCCTGGTTCTTTTGGTGATAACATAACCCAGGTCTCTGGGATGTACTCTGCCACACAGAGGAGTGCCTGCTTACAGTTCCCTTTAAAGATACCATCCAGACTGAATTCTCTAGTGGTTTTCCCTGTGTTAGGTCACATAATGGAGAAATTATAGAAGGAAGTAAGGACTGTCAGGCCTTGTGTCCATGTACTGCAGCAGTGGAGCCCACTCTGAGCAGCATTCAGGCCATCTGACGCTGCTGGAGACAGGGAGAGGTAGACAATGGGGAGCTGGGGAAGGCTGTTTTGTCAAGACGTCCTGGTTACTGCCAGTGTGATCTGTGACATAGGTGTAGAGCAGCAAGATACAGCACTGTACATTAAACTGTGTGAATGGATGTCTGAGTGTGGCAGGTGAGTGAGGCACAGGTCCATGGGATGGGCATGGGGCTTGCTCTGCAGTTAAGGCACTTGGTGACAGTGAGCTGGCATCTCTGGGCCTGCAATGTGACATGTCCCTAGCTCTCACCTTGGGAGCGCCCAACAGCAAGTTAATAGAATAAAGTAGCCATGGACCCTTCCAGAGGACTGAAGCAGGCTTTGCATATCCATCAGCCAGGGGAGATGGCCAGCTATGTGGTTACAGAAAAATGGTGAACAGTGTGACCTGTGTGAGCAGCTGAGTTCAAACACAGGGAGCTGTAACACAGTTACCCACAGCACTGCCTTAGGACACATCTGACATGTGAGAAGTCTCAGGAGTAATATCCTTCTGGTTTTTCATTTTGTCACAGTTATCTCCCTGGTGTGTTCACTCTCACTCTGTGATTTGATGATACTGGGCTTTAGCAGCAATACTGGCTTGCGCAGTCCCATCCTCTCATATGTCCCTTGCTACTTGTTCTCTCCCCAAGCCACAGTGCCCCTTATCCCCATGCTGTACATGAGGCCATGCTGTGTACTGCTGGGTTAAAAAAAATAATAAACCAGAACTACAGCATGATGAAATGGCATATATTTAACCCAGACCAGTTCCCTTTTTTTTTTTTAATCTGGCCTCAAGCAGTTAGATCAGCACAAGCAAGGGAAGCCTGGTGTCTGCAGCGCTGAGGAAGCAGCAGGGACACATGGCTGAGAAGCAAGAGCTCTGCATTCAGCTCTGCTTTTGAACCCCTGGGTCACCCAGCTGTGGCCAGGGTTTGGCCTCTGTGCTGGGATGCCCCAGCCACCAGCAGGGATCTGCGAGGAGACATCTGGAGCCTACATCAACTCTGGGCTGGTGGGGTGCTCACAGGGAGGGATCCTGCTGAGTTCTTCACCTCCCAACACTGCTCTGCTTTGGGGCTTGGCTGTATATATAAAACCAGGGCCCTTGCTGCTAGGTGGAGGCATGCTTTGAATTTTCAACTGCCCAGGCTGCAAGGAGAGTAGCTTTACAACAGTGAATCCCTGGAGCATATTTGGCTGCTCTTTTGTGTGTTCACAAAGTTTTACTCACTTTGCACCTGTAATTTATAAGAATATAAATAAAAATTAACACGTAAATGAGGGATAATGCAACCTTTTCCTTGCATATCAAGAGACATCAGTATATTATTCCATCCAAGCTACTGAAGACTTACAGCTTTCTATGCTGTAACAGGGGAACCAAATTCCTGCAGTCTTAGAGAGGATCTTCAGTCTCAGGCAAGTAGGCAGCCCGGCATTTTGGTGATCTTTGATTTGCGATGGTACATCACCACATACCATCACTACATTGATCAGCAAGGGGAAGAGATCCTAAATTGTGTTCTGAAGAACAAAAAAGGTTTAAAAATTGTACAGGTTTCTGGTACAAAGAAGCAAAAAAGATTACTTCTGATGGCGTTGCCTTTTGAGCAATCCTTTATCTACAACATATGGCGGTATTACAAAACTGTTGACAAACGGCAGCAAGAGTAAAGAAGGCTAGAACTGGGCCCAAAGAAAGGCAGTCGGTTAGAAGGAAAAATCTGTTTCAGCTGAGAGTTTCTGCTTAAACAAATTTAACGTACTCTTTGAAAACTAATTATTATATTCAGTGTTCGGTCTGGATGCCTTACAGATAACAAACCACAATGAGAAGCAGACTTCCAGTGCTTATACACTGAGTGTTAGACCTTGAACCATGGCATTTATAGACTTCATTAAACTCTAGATCACTATTACATTTCTGTAGCCTTTGAATTCATGTTACAACGTGTTAAAATTATTTCAAGCAAATGCTACCAGTGACAATTCATGTATAGTTAATAATAATCACCATCTTTTTAAATATTTTCTTATGCTGTGTTTTTGCTGCTACTTTTATTTTCCAAATCATCTTTGAGTTAACATGATGCCTATAAGCAGTGTTCTCACCAAGGTCACTGTGCAGTGCCTTCACACTTTTGTATAGCGTCTTCATTTCTGAATTTGCCTTACTTTATGAATCAATATCTTTCAGCACCCCCAGATTCAAAAGGAGTCACAGTATATCAAGTACTTATGCTGCGATGATCAAGCAACCCTGCATCAGTGGGTAACAGGAATAAGAATTGCTAAGGTGAGATTAAAAGTAAACTTAATTAAATATGTTTTCTGTAAAATCCTGTCTTTCTCAGGTTACTGGCTGTCATCACCTCAACTGGAAATACTGTGTCAAGAGTGGACATTCGTGCTAATTTTACCATAGAGAGAAAGAGTAGAAGGGCATGACCAGGATGGATTTGCTGGATGTTCCTGTACCCTAGTTAACAGTGTGTTTTCTCATTAACATGAGGGTGAATTCTCTAGCTGTAAAACTCATGTACTCATAAAACTCATTCCACAGATATCTGGCACAATAATAGTATAGTGTGGCTAAAGAAATGCAGGCTCTGGTCAGTCCAGCTGTGGCATTTTTCAGAGAGTTCTGCCCAAATTGTCTGCAATACCTTCTTCAAGAAGATCCGAATTCACAGACCATTTTGGTTTGCACAGAATATTAGAGGAGGTGGATTTCTACATAGACCAATATACTGGCTGTACCTGGCTATACAGACCTGCTCCTGTTAGGTATATCTTCTTTTCTGCTAGTTCTGCAGGGTAACATCCAGCAAAGGCATGGGGTAAACATCAAATTATTTTGTGTCTTACACTGACAGAGCTGTTTGCTCTGGAGTCCAGGATTCAGTGTCCCAAGCCTCAAGTCTGAAAATGTAATACTTGGAAAGAATTAGAAAAAGATATTTATTGAGAACAGTTGGTTTTAAAGCCAAGATTCAAGATGTTTACAGATACTGAAACGAACATAAAATTTGAGAATGATGTCAGCAGAACTCTGTTTGATCACAGGGATTCATGTTTTATTGTGCTGTTATGGAGATGCTTTCCACCTGGCCCGATACAGAAATAGGCACAAGCTACTTCTTAACAAAACTGAGTTAGGAAGGAATGGGGTCAGAAAAGTTGTCCAAGAACAAAATGAATGTTTGGCCTATTTCAAGCTTAACACCATGCTTATTGTGTTGTCTCAATTGTTTTGCAGTATGGCAAGACATTATATGATAATTACAAATGCGCAGTGAAGAAAGCTGGCTTGTCCTCTCGGTGGGCAAATCAAGGGACAGTGGAACCAGCTGCCCCTGCAGGATCCTCATCAGCAGGTACAGATGCTGTCACGGCAGCTGAAGTCCCATTTATTGCCCTTTTCTGTCATCATCAGTGTTGCAAATAGTCTTTGTTCAGAAAACTATCCCGTGGATTCAGCACTAAAATACCTTGTTCTAGACAGTGTCGTGTAGCTCTGATCTATAACTAAGCTAGCAGCAGAGCTCTCACTTTAGTGTTAGAACTTGGGAGAATACAAAGACAGCCTGCCAAAAGTCAGTTTAAATCTGCATGATTTAATAAGGTATTTTTTCTGTTGGCATCCTTTATCCTCCCCCTACATTTTACATACTCATGGTCCGTGTTTTGAAGTTTTCTGTTTGCCCATCTTATAGTGGGTATATCGGAGCTTTTCTTCCAATTAGTAAAAGGCATGAGTAGGATATTCTGGGAATGATCGTTTCAGAAAGAGATTATTATAGGATGAGCCACTCTTTTTCCTAGCCTTTCACTCATTTGCATGGTAACAACATGAGTGTTAGGAGAAGGATGCAGAGAAGGAAAGGATTGGCTTAAGCACCTTTCCAAGGCTTTATTTTGCATTTTCTCAGTACATGTGAGAAGAAGGTGGGCTTTCTACTATTCTTTGGAGTCAAATCATGGTAATAAATACACATCTGGGGCAGGGACACCCAGTAACAAACTCTTTTGAGATCAGGGGATTTTTTGATAGTTGTGCATGGTGGTACTTTATGGAGGGTGGATGGGACAGTCGTGGAGCATTTTGTGTTCTGCTGTTCTGCAGTAGCGAGGTGGCTGGCCAGTGGAGCTGCACGCTGCTGCTGCTGTCGGCACTGGATATGGGCAGGATCAAGGCCTACAAAATTATGTTATATATCTGTATAACTTCAGCTCCTGACTAGAATCCAGGAAAGCTGCATGTGATCATAAAACATACTGTTAATCTTAATTAATGGGTCCTATTAAATGGTTAAGTAGCCTGAAAATATTTTAGTCATGTATGTTGTCTCTGTGGAAATACTCTGAAGGATCATTAGTGTTCTAATTGAGGCAAGTCTCTGGGATTCTTCTTGTCTTACAGTTAGCATTACTGCCCTATATAAAACCTGGGGCCCAACTATAATACTATAACCTGAACTGCTTGACTATGAGCAGTTGTTGGCTCATGTTTTGGAAATGGAACAAAGCATGTTTTCTTCTGTTCTGTTTTCAAATGGCTGTAGAGCCATTTATATAGTCTGATTTCAGTATAGGCTAAAATCTGCTATTCCCCAATCTGGTTAATATCACAAAAATGTAACATTCTGTCTCCTCTCCTCATCCCAGGTGCTGTTCAGTCAAATGGACAGATTCCCCAAACTGTTTGTCATTCCAGTGCAGAATTTCCAGAGACTCAGAAGACAGTGGATACAGCAGAAGTACAGGTCAGCAGTTACTAGCAGTGCACTAGTTAAATGTCACCTGTGAACCAGTTCTTCAAGTTTATTTTTCTTCACCCACTGTCTTCCCCCCCTCAAAGTGCCAGTTTTCCCTTGTGACAAGGATTTGGCTCCTGGGAAAAGTGGCTGGTTCCTTGCTGCCTCTCCTCATGCTTTACATACTGCAAGCAGTGTTGAAGAAGCAAGAAGCCACTGACAGGAGGTGAAGGCACAGACGTTTTCTTTCTTCAGAACAAATAGCTGTGAGTTCACGTAGCAGGATTAGTGATGTGCCTACTGGGACAGTCTCAGAGTCTGTGCCGCCAGAATCTCTGTGCCATTTTCTGTCCCTGCCAGAAGAGATCTTGCCTTAGTAACACAAAGGGTACAGTAGTGTTTTCAGCAGGGAACACTCTGCATAGCTGAAGATGAGTGTAAGAAAGGAGAAAGTGTGAAGTTTTCACAGAACCATAGAATGGTTTGGGTTGGAAGGGACCTTAAAGCTCATCCAGTCCAACCCCTGCCATGGGCAGGGACACCTCCCACCAGCCCAGGTTGCTCAAAGCCCTGTCCAACCTGGCCTTGAACGCTTCCAGGGAGGGGGCATCCACAAAACTTCCCTGGGCAACCTGTGCCAGTGTCTCACCACCCTCACAGTTTCATTAGGCTCTAAATGCATTCCTTGGTTAAGCTCCAAATTTTGCCTACTTGCACCATCTCTGGCTATAAAAATATCAGTAGGGTACAGTCATACTTCAAAAATATCCTACAGAAAAAAACCCCCTGCATTTGTTTGCAGTTCATTATTCACACCCTCCATCATGCATAAAGTGCACAGGACATGTGAAATGAAATTCCTAGGATTTTTCTGTCACCTGCGTTATGTCTCCTACATGTCTTGTTTCTGTCTTTGAGTTCCTCCTTTAAAAAGATCCATTTCTCTGTTCTGAACCTCACTTCCTCTGGAACAGATCATGTTCTCAGAACTCAGCCAGTGGTTCCCTTCTCCTGCGTCTCGTTTAGTTTCATCTTTGTAGGGCAGGGAGAGGGAGGCAGGGAGGACATCCATGTTACTCTTGGCTAATGCCAGAATTAGCACTGCTGACTGCGGGGTTGCAGAGCACTTCTCTCTGGCAGAAGCAAACATGTTGTCTTCTTTATCTCAGCTGCTACAAGCTTGGTACCAAAGGATCAAGCTGAATTTTCCAGGTTGCACTGTGCTAGAGTCAGAGCACTAAGATAGCTGGATCTAAACTGATAAATTAGTATTGCTAGGAATGAATCTGTTACTAAGCTTTGTTTTCAGGACAGCAGACTTCTCCATAGGTATTACAAGAACAGATAGCATCTTTGTGTAGGAACTGTCAATCGCTACCGGCCAGTTATAGTGTCAGTGTCAACTAGCAAACACAATTTAAAAGAAAAGCAACATAAAATTTTGTCAAAATAAACATCTTCATAATGAACTGCTGTCCTACCCTTTATTTTTCTTAACTTGTCTGATGGATGCTTTGAATAATTTTTCCTTCAAAAAAGTTGCGGAAGGTTTGAACGTCTCGTGACCTTGCAAACATGGCTAGAACTGAGTGGCTTTAAGGACCTGTTCGTTGCACTATTGATACAAAAGTGGAAGAGGTTTGTGCATGTGCAGAAGTCACCCCTCCCCAGGTGTCTCAGTGGCCCTTGCCAGGTCACAGGGGAGTCTTTCCCCTGCTGTGCACTGCACAGAGCTGTGACAGGCGGCTTTCCCAAGTGCCCCCCCTCGCAGTGCTTTGTAGAGCTCCCTCCCACACAGAGGGGGCCCAGTGCACTCCCCTGTGAGTGAATCTGTGTCACGCTGTGCTGCAGGCTGCTGGGGACAGAGAATCCAGACACAAACTTCAAATTCCCAAATCCCTCTACCTTCTTCCCAGTTCACTGCTGTTGTGTCTACAGAGTTTGGCAGAGATAGGTGACTTCATGATTTTAGCTTTATCCAGAGATCCAGCAGTCACAGCTAGAATGGGAGATGCAGATATAACGGAGATGAGAGCCAAAACTACATCTGCTTTTTATGTTCCTCAGTCTTCCTCAGTATTTTTGGATGTAAAACCACAGCACAGATTTTTTATTTTTTTTTTACATTTTCATGTTCTCAGGGAACAAACTGCAGGGTGGAACATCAAGAAAGTATCTTTACATTGAAAATTTCATTGAAATTTTGAAAGCACTCATTTTCTGCGGCCAGCACTCAAAGAAGCACTCTGAGTACTGTCAACATGGAGGTTCCCACTGTCAAAGTTCTGTGGGCAGCTCCAGAAGGAAAACAAAATACTATCTGCACTCTTCACGCAATGTGTACTCTACTTTATTTCGCTGTCTGTCTACTGCACTCTTCTTCTATATTTTCACATCTTTTCACTGTTCTTAGGCAGTGGCATTAGTTTACACGTGCACTGACTGTGTAACTTTTATTCCTTCTGCTTGTTAAAGGCCAAGTCAAATAACATCAGTGCGCCTGGCCTGGCACAGTCAGTGATGAGGCCACAGAAATACCCGAGTAAGAGGAACTCACTGCAGCCGCCTCCTCCACCTGAAAGGCGGTCGTCTGCCATTTCTGCTTCACCAGTTCTACCCTCCAAAGTCAAACGAGACAGCGGGGTTTACCTAACAGATCCAGACAGCTTTCCAGCACCACCGCCTACAGTCAAGATTGATCTTCCACCACCATCTGATTTCTGTGAACCTCCTCCTGATTTTGTGCCTCCACCACCACCACCACCAGCCTCCAGCAGCAGTAATGAAGACCTGCCGTTACCCCCTCCACCTCCACCTGTTTCCAGTAAGCCACCACCTCCGATAAAGAAACCTGTGCCACTTCCTCCAAAAAGGCTAGAAAACACAGGACAAGCTGGAGAGCCACGGTCAGCTGGGCCACCTCCAACTGGGGGTGGAGGCAAGCAGGCAGACTTCATGTCTGACCTAATGAAAGCTCTTGAGAAGAAAAGGGGCAGTAGCTCTTGAGCTCTGCAAGCAGGTGGACTTCAAGCCACAGCTGTTTTTGAGAGGGATCATGGAGGGCTGTGCTGGATCATGCTCCTCCAGGAGGAATTTTCCTTCAGAGTTCCTCCTGGGGTTCTCAAGAAGTAAGGTGGTGTGCCCTCTGTCCCCAACTTTGTCCCTGTAACTTGCTCCTTCCCCCCCAGCCCTGCCCCCCTGTCATTAACTACCATTGCAGCATGAGGCCAAGGTAAGAATTGGCTGTAGGGTCTTGCTCTGCTCTATCAGAAGAGCCAGGGATGGTGAAGCAGCACTCGTAGAGCTGGCCCACGAGTGAAATGCATCTTCTGTGGCTGCCTCTCCAGTAGAATTGGAGCTGAAGGAAAAAGTCCAGCAATGTTCTCATGTGAATTTTGAGAAGTGGGAAGATCCCTTTTCACAGAATTCCCCTTGAAGATTCTTTATCAGAAAAAAAATTGTGGGTTGGTTTGGGTTTTTCCAATAAAAAGACCCTAGTTTTTGCAGAAATAGTCTGTCTTAAAAAGTAAAACCTCAGCTAGATTACTCTGAGATGCAAGGCAGGACCAGGGCCATTTCCAGACAGTGTCACTCCAAATGATATACACTCCTGCTTCCATATGCAACTCCAGTCATACCTGACAGCAGTCACAGCAGCTGCCTTTAAATCTCGTTTATTTGGTTTATCTCAGACAAAGAAGAATTTTATTTCTAAATCTTATATGCTTCCCTTGGTAAGCAAGAATTTTTTTTTCCCTGTTGGTTAACATTTGTCTTCATACTGTACCTAGAAATAGTCTGTCTTCTGAGAGACTTTGTAATTATAATGAACTTGATGTAAATGTCTCCTCCTACATATTTTTTTCATTTCTTCTCCCATTTTAATTCTTATGTAGACAGCATTCATTATTATTTCTCAAATAAAAATAGCTTCTATTTTATATCTGCACAAAGTGTCACAGTTAATGAACAAGCATTTTACTGGCAATTGGTACCACTTCAAATGTTTTAAAGAAATCTATACTTTCTAGTGTTTTTTTGATTTCTTCCAGTCTTTGCCTCTTCTCATGCACACGATCTTCTAAGATACCCTAAATAATATACTTTTGTGTTTTGCAATAAAAAGCAAAGTGTGTGGTCTAAATAAATACATAGAAACTGACAGAGCAGGGGGCAAGAGCACTGTCACACCACATGCCCCACTCCCCAGGGGGTTCTTTAGGTGAGTATGTGACCAATCTGGAAGAGGTAGGGGACTTACTTGGCTCTCCAAGGCTATCAAGGCCTGGCAGTCTCTGCGCTGACTGACATCAATGAAAATTGTTGGTAGAGTCCAGAAGTGCAACACTTACTGAGGCAATCCACATTTTCCACAAGATCACAGCACAAAGAGGCACCTATTTATCCAAGTACAGACAGTGGTGCTGGCTGTCCCCTCTCACATTTGTTCAGATGGTCCCTAAGATGTTTGCACATTCCTGTGGCTACATGAGCATTGTCCTCCACCAGGCAGCAAAGACCAGGACACTGCTATGATAACGCACAAACCATGAGCACCCAGTATCAGGGAGCCGACCCTTGACAAGGTGGAGCAATCCAAGGCAGAATGTGCCCATCTCAGCAGTAGAAGCTGCAGGTAGTACCTGGTCAAAGCAGCAGGAGGTGATGGACACAAGAGGAACTTGAGGATGCACAGAAGGTGCTTCATAACAGGGATGCATCAGCCAGGGAAGTGCCAGATGAGTCACTAGAAAAAAAATTAGGTTTTAGTTATAAACTTAATCTGTTTTCAGTTGAGACAAGCTGCAGCTAAAGGATGTTTTTCCTGCAGTAATTGTGCCCATCCCCAGAGTTACTCAGGTGTAGCCATGGGACAGCCACTCTCCCTTTCCTCCTTCCTTTGGGTTGTCAACAGTGTAAGCACTGGAAGAGTAAGTAAAGCTCGCATCAGGGATATGGGAATGGAGGGAGGCTCATAAGCTTAGTACAAGCTCTAGTTCTAAGTCCAGGAGAAAAAATACTAAGTAGCAAAAAGTAGGAAGTTAAAACTAGGGGTTAAAAAAAGAAAGGATTAATGTTTCCCAATTTCTTTCCATATGTAACTGAGCTAAGCATTATGCAGAATCACTGAAAGCTAAAATGCTGGGTGTCATTTTCCTGCAAGGTTTTAGGAGAGCACATCTTTGACACACTTAGGTGACAACAGCTTCCTGTTATCCAATTAATTTTAAATCAAATTACTTTTATCAAATATATACCCAGCACCAAAATAAAGCAAACCCTTGTCCTTAGAAAAATGTGGCACAATAAGCTAGTTTCTCTGAACTCACAAAGCATCAACTTCTACACGGTTTTCTTAGCATTCACTCTTCTCACCAGAATGCTCAGCCTCCTGCCCTATTTCCTCCCTTCTCTTTTGTTACAGAACAATAAACTCAATTTTATACATTTTACATCTGCAGTCAGTCATAACTCATGCACTTAATCTTGCACAAAAGAAAAAGTTGAGCTTTCTTCGAAACAAAAAGAATCAAAGCCTACAGAGAACTCCAGAAATCAATTAAAATGCTGTGATGATTAGAACTCTATCAGCTATTTTGTGTATGTACATTGAATTTCTGAAATGTAAGTGTTCAAACTCTCCATTCAAAGAACAGAGCTACCATCTTAATGACACCAAATTATCTGGCTTTATTTAATACAAAAAAACATGCTGCCAAATACAAAAAAGATCTTCCTTTCAAAACTAAACCAAAAGCATTTGTAAAAAAAATAGATAATCCTCCACCTCTAGATAACCTATTGCCATATGAAATTGTCCTATTCCTGTAGATTGCAGAAGTATGTACGTTACTGGAGATTACAGTATTTTACTCGGAAAAGATCTGGAATTGCAGCACGTTATTTTTAACCTTTCCCCATACCTCAAGTGGAAGCAGTCTCAGCAGCTGTTGTCGTCTTTGGGCTCTTACAGCACCAATATGGAAGAAGGACTGGCTTCAAGCGACCACTTTTCCACTCATCCTTAGGATAAGAACGGTGAGAGTCATATGGACAAGTCCACAGGTGAGGGATCAACACTGCTGCCCCTGTAACTGTCCTCTGACACAGAAAGAGGATGAGAGTACAAGTAAATACCTGTTTGATTACCAGTCACAGTATTTTTATTCTCCATCTGGCTCTTGTATCACTGCTGTGTTTATATAATGTGAAGGAAGAAGCAGCTCCAGAACTGCAGGTGAGAGCCAAGGATTTTAGGGAATATATCATGAAACACAGTATTAATGCTTACATTGTCATAATAAACCATAACGATTAAAACCTAGAAGAGGAAAGGGAAGTTGTACAAAATGCTGAGCACAATGTGGGCTCATTCCTCCACTTTCACAAAACAGAGTTAAAAGGCAGTGTTGAAGTAACTGTATTCTTCATATGTTTTTCACACAGTCTTTGTCAAACACTTTGAGAGTAGAAGAGTAGAAAATTCAGTGGATCACATAGCAAAAGTACAGGACAAAGGTATTTATGGGTTATCAGCAGTCTCACAGTAACTGGGAAACATGCCTATCCTGTTGGAGGGAGACACAGAACAGAAGAGATTTGCCATCATTAAGACTTACCAGTTCTCGTGGTCTTGCAGAACATTCCAAGGCAGGTTGATCGCCATCAGCAGTCAGTACTGACTAGTATGAAATCAGAGTAGTTACTACAAACAGGTGATGTAAACTGCATAGTAAAAGTAGGGGGAAAAGTAATGGAAAACTGCTTTCACATGAATCAAGGAAAGAGGACATGAGTGAGTCCATGACTGAACTCCTGGAGTAGTAGCTGACCTGCTCTCTGCAGCCAGAGCAATACATGGAACCAGTTTTCAGGGCTTACTTCCTTCTTTCAGATATTTTTCAAGAACCTGGGAAAAGCTTCACAGAGAGCACAAGAGGCAGTACATATCACTGCTTGTAAAATAGCTCCCATTCGGGATGTTCTGGTTTTATATTGTGATGCTGGAGGCTTTCCTTACCTCGGGTGAAGCAGAGGTCCACTTGCTACTGTTACCAACAGAATTTAACATTTATGAAACACTTGGAAGAAAAAGGCAGTATAAAAATGCTAGAAGTATTTATGCAATTATTGTATGAGGGAAAGATGTACAGGCAGCCGTGCTTGGCCCACACAAAAGAAACTTAGCTGATGTTTGGTTCAACATAAATTATGGTTCTTTCCTTATTCCTCATTGGAAACCAGGGCCCAAGCTCCAGTGCTGCTGGATTTACCCTGCAGGCACAAATACGTTCATCTTCAAATCATCACTTATTTGCAGTGTAACTCACTCCACTGCAGGTGGCAATGCTGACGTTCATACATTTCACCACAACATGCTATTTTTGCTTGTAATTATCCAAAAACAGACACCACCGCCAATGTTTCAGTAGGTTGGGAATGCAGCCCACAGCTGAAGGGCTTCAACAGACCCCCCAGCAGCCCCCTCCTTTTATCTGGAGATGTTGCCAGCCCAAACACTCATCCCAGTGCTTGCAGAAGAGCACTTACTACCTGCACAAGGAATGTTAACCCAGGCTGAACTTGTGCAAGTTGCTTAAACTTCAGACTGGACTTCCAGAAATCTGTACTTAAATATCTATATTGTGCCTCACATGATGATACTACTATTTACAGTTGAACAACTGTATTTCTATTTGAACAGCTGTATATCTGAGGGGAACACCATCCTGAATAATTGTGTTGAATACAGTTAGGAAGTAAAGGCACCTGACTATTTTTTTTAGTCACTGAAAGCTTCTTACAATGTAAATTTTTGTCCACAATAATTATATTTCTAGAAATAGATTTGTGAAATGCTAAATATACCACTTATTAGCCTCTATTTCAGAATCAAGTGGCACTCAAGATATTTGGAGACTAAAACAATCCATCTGGGATTTGAAAAGAGACAAGGTAGCGTCAAGAGGTAACAAAGCCCCCACAGAAGTGGTTTTTGTTGTAAATTTTCTAGCGTAACATTGGACCTGATTGCTTATGTATTAATTTTGGCTTAATTATACACTAAGTTTTGTCATGTGGAATTGGATTATGAAACAAGGATAAACAAGACCCAGGACTCAGACTCGTCTATGTTACTCAAAGGACTTCTGTGAAACAGCTTCAGTTGAATTTTAAATACTTTCCCTGCAAGACTTTCCTTAGCCCCTTACAGCATCAGGTGGCTGGATACAAAAGGTATATTGACCTGACTACATATGTAGTGACATACTTCCAAGAAAGTCCTTTTCCATATCCAAGCAGTGAACATTTCCTGAGGCTTTATATCCATACACCAACAACCTTTCTACTACCACCAAAAGATACACTTTCAAAGAGCAGTGGGCCAGGCTTTATAGGCAGCTGACATTGGCTAAGACACAAAAATTTATTTTTGGGCAACTCACTCCCATCTTTGCTCACTATTTAATTGAATTTCATTTAAATCTTTGTTGGCAGTTTAATGGGACAAAATAAGGTAAAAAAGAGGAAAGGTTGCAAGGCCTAAGTGTGAGATGATCCTCTGTTCCAACTCCACAAGAGACTTAAGAACATTTGTGTCTTCAGAATACAGTTATATTTGAACAGTTTGTAACAGTAGGGAGGACATTAATCAAAATACTGTACGATTAAAAATAGCTTAGGCAGATTTTAAATTGAACAGCCAGTAAAAATTATTGAGACCCATTTGATCAGCCATGAATTCTGAGAGGGTAAGTGGGACAGCTTGACATAACTTAAATATTGGGACACAAATTAATGCACAGCTGAATGTGAAGGGCAGAATTATAAACCCCAACATAATTTGCTGATGCAACCATACATAGTGGTCCATTTCTTTAATCTTTAGACTTTAAAAAGTTGGTCAAGACCTTGCCTTGCTGCCTAGCAGAGTAGCAGATTCCTGTCCACAAAGTCTAAGGGAGAGAAGCTCCTGTGGCTTGATCCGTTAATCCCATTTGAAGGCCTGAGCTTCAACCTTGATCATTTTTTCTTGCTTGTTCGGTTTTCTCTCAGGAGGAACAGCTCACTTTGAGATCCTTGGCCCAAGCTGGGGGGCGCAGGGAATAGCCTGCTTTCTCTGCAGCCTGCTGTCTCTGGAAGGGATGCTGTAAAATCTGCTGTAGGAGATGAACCTGGAAACAGTTAAAATGGTTAAGTTTTTATACAAAATGTTTTCCGACAAACAAGGAAAGTTTCTGCCACTTCATATTACACACCCTCCTGGCACCAGAAAATATTACGTGAGTTGCTTACTATTATTCATATGGATATTAATATAGTCATTACTATTTATGTTACAATTAATACTACTAATAATTTTGTTAATATTTTTAATAGTAACTGGTATAAGATAGTACCATGTCGGTCAAAGTGTAGTATAGGTTCAAAGTGTAACTGCAACAACTGTTTCATTAACAATTATGCCAATTATTAATAAATACATCAAGAAAGAAAGAAAGAAAGAATTTTACCTCTGAGAAATCATTCAAATTAGCTTTCTGCACTGCTGATTCTGCCATCCAATTCCTAAGTATGTATCTAGGATTAAAAGCTGAAACCAAAAATAAAACATGTTAAATATAGTTAGACATATTCAACAAAAGGAAAACACAGTCATTGAAACGTGTCATTGAAATCTTCAAGGTTTAATTTGCATATCAAGAAAAAAAAGGCAAAAAAAAGGAAAAGGAATTAATCTACCTATTTATTTTTATGAGCTGCTAAGAGGATTTTTTTAACTTGCACAATCAGTAATGCCAAAGTGCCCAACAAAAATTATAGTACAGAACATCCCACTGATACACAAAGGGGTTTGTGTTACGGACACCAGCAGACTTTTCCAACATGATGAGTTTACCATCACCTATGTTCCTGCTACATTGTTGGAATAAAGAGTGTTTCAACGTTGTCTATACCTTCCTGGAGATGATAAAAATGAATATTGTATTACTTAATTTAAAAAGGAATTATTAAGATATTCATTAAAGTGCATGTACTTAGAGATTCCTTCTTCTATGTCTTATGCCAAAAGTTTAGACATAAACTGCATTTTTAAATGTACTTTTTCAACTTCCCTTTTATGTCCTGGTGTGGCTGGGGGGGAGGTGCCCCAGTTTTTTCCACCTGTTGTATCTTTTGGGAAGCACTCATGGCAGCTGCACCGCTTCCCTGATGTGTCCCAGGCTCATTGTGGCAAATTTGTGGCAGGGAGACTGCAGGGACATTGAAAATCCTGAATTATAACCCAGGCTGTATCTTACAGGACAGCAACAAACAACTCATAAAAGGAGCTCTGTCAAGCTGTATGCCGTGGACAATTCTCATAAACACACATGGCTTTTATTATCAATTTTTTAGCAGATAATGTCAACACAACTTTTACTGTTGCTCTGCAATTAAAGCCTAGGATTCTAATTAAAAAGTTATCCTTTTAATTAATAGTCAAAACAATGTTACAGATTAATTGTAGCAAACATTTCAAGCTTGCATTGTAAGTCTTAATTTGACATTGGTCTACATATTTTCTCAAATTCAGTAGCTGATTATTACCTGATGAGATTAAGTAGTGATACCAGAGGACCCATGGACTTGAAACCAAAAATCTGTGATTTAAGGACGTACACAAACTTCACCCGTTCCTTCCCTTTCCATTGATGTCCCAGTATGTTTTATATTAATAACTCTTAGTTTTATATAATAAATTTATTTTTTAAAAATCCATGTAGCTTTATAAAATATTCTTATAAATACCCTTACAGCATATTTGAAGGAAGGTATTACAGAAAGCAGAGTATTCATCAAAATTACCACTCCAAATTTCCCTCTACTCAATTCCTCTAATCAGTTACTTATGATATTGTATCTACAAATAATAAATTACCTTAAGAAAGGGATGATCAGAAATAATATTTTGGATAAAAGGATTCAACTTAATACACATATTAAAGAAAAGCCAATAAATAAAACTATTTGGAACCCTGATAACCTCTACATAGTCATAACAACACCCTGCCCTAACTGCTAAAAAAATAGTGTTTCCCAATTGGCAAAATAATTTGTTCTGGCCGGGTATTTGATTTAATCCAGTAAACGGGTTTTCAATAGTAAAGTGTGATAATAATACAGAAAAAATATTTCAAAGGTGGAGAAGTTACATATGACTCACACAAAAAAATTGTAATTCACATTAAAACCATGACTCATATTAGCAGGAGAATATTTGTCCCAGAAATATAGTTTTAACAATTGCAAATCGACAAGTTTCACAGTGGCATTAAAAATATCTGTAATTAACACAAGTGGCAAGATAATTATGAGAGAATAAGACAAACCAGGTAAGAAAAGGACAAAGCAGAAGAAATTTTATACCCTTACGAGCATGTGATGATCTTGTCTACAATTTATTTTTACATGTTTCTTTTAGAAAGAAATACAATGACAGACTTGTATGGAGGAAAAAAAATAAGGAATAAGCGATCAACTTCAAATGCTTCAAGGTAATGTACTTTGGGACATCAGGTATTTTACTGGATTTACTAATGATGAGGGAAAGGTGATGAATAATGAGCTGTTAATGGCAATATATTCAAGGTCAGTCAATACTAAAGACAGCAATAAGAAATATAGTGGGACTTACCAACCCATATGAAAATCTAGAGAGCCCTGACAGTTTTGTCTTTAACATGAAATGCTGGGTAAAAAAGTACGGTTGACTGAGTTGATCCAGATTGCTGCTGCAAGTTGTACTGACAAGGGACAACTGCTACAAGCAAATAACAACAAAAAACCCATTTTAAAGAGATCACAAGGGGCACCTAAGAGTTCCATTTAAAAGTAAAGATATAAAAGAGGACAACAAAAAACCCTTCAGTCACACTGTAATACGGAGCAGCTAGCAAAAATGTAACAAGATTTGTTGATTTTAAAAGGAAAGCTAAATTTGATTAAAACAATAATTAATTAATACCAGTAGGCTGTCACAGATTTCTGTAGCTCTGCTGTATGAATATAGAGTGATGAAAACTTTACTAACTTAACCATGAATCTTTGCAAATCCAGTTTTGGACTGCTACCAAAGCTGAGACCACGAGCACAAGTGTGGACCTGGAGGAAAAACCTGTGCCTTGTTTTGTCTGTCTCTTCTCCCATAAGATCCTCTGAGGTGCATGTGGAGAAACACAGTGCTGGTTTGCAGAAGATCATCCCCAAACTGGGATCCTTTCTGATTTGGTATAAAAACTCAGAATATCATAGTTTTCTCTAAAAGCAGATTCAAGAAAAATAAGTGTGTTTACACAGTTTTCAGCATTAAATTTTAGCTGAGAAAAATGGGGGAGCTCAAAACCTTGAAATAATAGTTGTGCTAGGAGCCTCAGAGTCCCACAGCTGAAACTTCCAAAATACAAATAATAAAACAAGCCTTTCTTCTTGGTAACTGTTTTCATTTTAACTTTCTAAAAATACAGGTAGAATTGTGAGAAATGTTAATTAAAAATGGATGGAGCCTTAGTTAAAAAATGTGGATGCAAATATGAAGGTCCACGTGATAAGCTGTGCCTTATGTAGTGCTATCTCCTGCCATTTTCCTACTAAAGCAATTAAACCTTTTGAAGAAACCAGCCAATCAATATTTAACAAAAAAGCACAGCCATTTCCACTAGAAATGAGAGTAAAATGCCTTGCAAAGCAGCAAAAAATCAAAGCTTATAATAACTCCTGTGCAGAATTTTATCAGATCCTGCATTTCCTTCATTCTCTCTCACTGTCTTATTGTAGACCCAAAAATAAAAAAAAGTCTCACTAAAAAATTGTTAGAATTTCATATCTGCTGTTTCTGCTGTGATAGACAGCTAAAAGCAGTACCTCTACCATTATATATTTAGAATAACTTGGAGAATTAAAGTATGACTAGATAATCCTTTCACAAATAAGGTTTTTTCTCCAGGTGCAGGAGAAAAAAAAAAAGTCGGTGCTTATGAGAAACCTGAGTTCTTTGTAACACATAGAAAGGATTTGGGCATATCTGAACACTTAGACAAATCTTACTCCATTAAGCCAGTACAGGATGCCTACCAGAATCTTCCCTGATGTTATCAAGGGCTCATCACCAAGGAAGAACAATGTCTTCTTAGCAATGCACACTGACACATTCACAGACTGTTAAAGGAAGGAACTACAAGAAAAGATGTTGCTTGCACGCAGGAAAAAGGAAGGGCATCTCTCACAAGGAAATCAAATCCTAGGGTCCCTTTCAGGGAGCAGCCTACTTTGCAATAAAGAATTACAACTTGGGGCGCAGCATGTGGAGCATGTCCACCGTTTCAAGGCACTAGGATGAAACCCCACTAGAGACATGACAAGATACAGACAACCATATTCCCATGCCCCAGTAATTCTTGAGTTCTTAAAGGGAATCAAAAGGGGTAAAGATAATTAAGTCCACAAGCACCAAAGCATGGAACAAGCTGGAGGTCTGGCATCTCCTAATCCTCTAAATGTAAATTGTGAAAGATTTGATTTAAAAAAAAAATAAGAGGAAAAAGAATACAAAAAGGTAAATGACAAATAATGGAAAGAAAACAATCAATTATATAAATGAGGATTGATATGGAATAGACCATAGCTGGACACGTGAGCTGGATTGCTTCAATGTCTATGTTCACATATGGTGCGACACAGGTCAAAGCAGCCTGTGTGGATACTGACAGGAGAAAAAGACTTGTTTCATGAGGTCTTCATCACATGAAATTTCAGTCACCCAAAATATGAACAAACATGTGTTCTGACCTTCAAAATCAGCAGAATGTAGAGAAAAGCACGTTGCACAAGTAGCAGTGGTGCACTTCCATGATGTTGCACTCCTAGGCCTCAGTGATACGAGTACAGCTGTATTCACAACAGAAGGGGTTTGGGCCAGACCAATTTCTTCATGAATGCAGACAGTTAAATTAAGGATTTTTAAATTATTTTTGTTTAAGGAGGGAAAAGGGTGAATCCCTAAGGAGGAAGAATGCCTCATTGAAGCCAAGGAACATCTTCATCATTTAGCTTATATAAAAAATATATAGAAAATCACAAGTCTAGCCATACACCCATGGCTAGATTCTAATCACAAGACTGAGTGAAACCAGAGATAGTGGTTCACCACAGTGAATGTACATATCACGAGATTTGCAGCAGTGTAATGCGAGTTTCTCCTCTTCAGAAAGAGTACATTTTAGTCCTGCTCAGAAGAAAAAATAACTAAAACTGAAGAAACCTACATAAACAGATAGTTGCTATCTCCAAGCATATAGATTCTTCTGGATTGTTTTACTCACTTGTCATTCTTGTTCTTCTCTTGGCGTCTGAATCACCCTTGTTACTATACATGAAAAGCAAACCAAAGGAAGAGATAAGTAAGTGCTTTAGCTAACAAAGCTTATGCTTATTTATTTCAAAAAATATTTTGCTTGACTTTGATTAAAATCATTAAGTGTTCTGCTTTTGTGTTCAGTGGAAATAGGTGTGAATGTCTAAGAATGATTAGTTGGAAAACCTGCACACTTGCTTCTAAGTTTTCTATCTTGTATAGATTTTTTTCGCTAAGAATTTTATTTACTGACTAAAATTTCCAAGTACCTCATCTGTTCTTCTTTTCACTACTATCAGCCATGCAAAAACCATGTCACATTCTTTATTGATTTAAGACAAAAGAATTGGTAGGAAGCTCTAACAGGCATGTCCCTATCTATGCAAGACCAGTGGTTTCCCAACACAGTCTGTGTATTCACAACTGTTCAACTTCCACTCCCTGTCATCCTAAAGCAGTATTACCACACAGTAAAAATATATGTATTACCAGTAATGAAACACTGTTCATTCCTATGTATCTGCAAAGCCTGACTTTCAGATGCTTGAACCAATTCTGAAGAACTGGTATTTTAACAAAAAATATTAATCAAATAAATCTGATCAGATGCTCGATGAAGAACAACAAATAGATTATGGTTCTAGATTGTGCTAGAACACAAAGACAAAAAAGCCATATGAAACCATGTTTGGGCCAGTTTACCAGACTCACTAAAGATAAATGAAAATCACCGCAGATTAAAGTTGTCTGCTTCTGGCAAATACACATGTGCTGTTATTTTTGCACTTGAAACTGCATCAGACTTACCGATTTAATCTCAAGAGGTACATAGTAACCCATTCTGAAAATAACTTGTGTTTACCCAGATCCTGGAGAGCCCAGAACTCCTAAAGAGAAAGAAACAGTTAATAGCAGGTCATCAGAATTTTGTTCCTGTTAAGCAAAAACCAAAGTAAGCAAATGAATATTAAAAGGATATGAGGGAAACATGATGACCTTTTAAGGGATTTTCTCTCCAAAAATTCTACTAATGTATTTTCTTCTGTATTTAAATTATTTCTTTATGCCAGCTCGATACATCCATATAATCCATCTCTGTTATGGCATATTCTACCTAAACACCTCCAGCACTTCACCTCTATTTTTCCTTAGCTTATTGTCTGACCTATTTTATTTTTTATGCTACTTAACTACAGGTTTTGCTCTCTTCCGAGTTTTGTATGTGGATCAGATCTGTTTGTAGAGAGTTGGTTTTTTCCCAAAATTGTGGAATAAGGAAAATATATTGCTAAAGAAAGATAAACTGTGGAGAAAAAGGGAAACTTCAGGCTACAAGGATAGGAGAAGACTGAGAAGAAGAATAGAGACAGCAGGGGAGGAAGAAGGGAGAGCAGATGGAAAAGGAAAACAGAGGGAAACCAGCGCTTGGGGTCACTGCCTCCAGCATTGGACAACCACCACCAACTTGGGTTCCCTGGCGGACTACACTGAGCTCACAGCTGCTTCATATTGCTCAGTTGGGATAAAGCAGCCAAAGCTCACAGCCAACAAATGAAATTCAGAGAAAGAACAGATTAGAAAGAAATGGACATAGATAAAAGGAGATAACCAACAGATATACAAGGAAAAAAATGGGCAAAAGTTAAGTAAGGGAAATGAAAAGCAAGAATAAAACAAAGTTTTGATCACATCTGTGGTTTTTCTAAAAGGAATGGAAGTAAAAAAATATAATGAAAACCACATTTGATATAAAAATAAGTTAAAATTAGAGAAGTAAGTAAGAGCTGAGGGTCAGGCAGGTGGATAATAGGTGAGTGTGGGAGTCAAGCATTTGTTCAAAGATGTGCAGGGTTAGGCTGCTTTAGGCAGATCTTCAGAATGTTTTCAGTTAATACTAAATGTAAGGACGCCTGCAGTGGCCCCCAGGGGTTCTGGCATTTTTAGGTCAATTTTGGTGTGTAGATGAAAAAACTGTATGTGATCCACAAGGCAATATGAGAACTTACTTTGCTGCTGAGAAATTTCACAGCAAGTGAAATTACTTTAAGATAAAAAAAACCCAACCCAAAACCTTTTTACCAGCATAAAATTGTACCTGCCTTACCACATTGGTTTTGGGATTCAAAACTTGTGGGCTAAATCATTTTATTGTGTTAAAAAAAAAAAAAAAAAAAAAAAAAAAGGTAGCCTCTTGGCCTGGCACTTATACTGGGTAAAATATTGTGTTTTGTTAAAAAAAAAAAAAAAAAAAAAAGGCCAGCCACTACCAAGTGAAGGCTGCAGGTGACCCCTGGTGTAGTAGCAGGGTCACAATTACACCACAATTCGTAGTTCTAGGAGTGGCTCCATCCCGTATGAAGGTGGCTTTTATTCTTCCTATCACATGAAGGCCACTAAGTAATGGAAAAATCGCTCGTATTAAATGAAAAAAATTCATTCTCTTACAAACACACTCATCCTCTTATCACTCTCCCTGTACAAATTAAGTCCACAGCTACAGCTGTGTACAGTATTTTTTGCTGCTTACCACTAGAAAATCTCAACTTTTTAACTCTAAATGGCTTCAAGCTGATAGAGGTCAGGCTACACCTCTTACTTAACAGAAAAAAACACCGAAAACCAGAGAATTTGGTCAAGATCATTTAATTATCTAGGACACAACTGGAAAAAGAAACAGTAACTCCTCATTCTCATTCTATGCTTTATGCAGTCATTCTGTTCCCTAAAAAAACCTCATAAGTCCCTCTGCTCTCATTTTAAATTAGATTCAAACAGAAACAAGTCGGAAGTT